GCCGTGCCCCTCGGCGCTCCCTCCCCACCAGGGAAGGGTCCTGCGCCTCCGGTGTGGTACCCTCCCCAAGGTCAGGGCGCAGTGCCCCTCGCCGGCTCTGGCTACGGGTCACAACCAGGGCGGTCTGGGGGTTGCTCGGCCAGTCCTCTAGGTCCCCCCCCCATCAAAACCTCAGTGGGCAAATGGTGGTGTACCCCCACATCCTTGGGGCCCTCCTTGGCCCCCCATTTCAGGTGTACCCTTGCCACGGGCACCTTAAATGGGGTTCCGCCCACCCCCGTCAGGGTCAGGTAGGTGTTGGGCACCACCCGATCTGGGGCCACCACCTCGGGCCGGGCCAGCGTCACCTCCGCGCCCGTATCCCAGTATCCATTGACCTTCCTCCCATCCACCTCCAGGGGAACAAGGCACTCTCTCCGGAGGGACAGCCCCGCGCCCACCCTGTAAACTGAGCACCCTGAGTCCAGAGCCTCCAGCCCTCTTGCGGGGCTGGCCGGGGGTACTCTTCCCTCCTGAGCAGGTGGTAAACTGGCAGCCCCCCTTGCCTGGGTCGTCTGCCCCTCATCCACCTGGGTCCCTACCCAGTTAACCCTGGGTAGGTTGGGTCTGCTCAGTCTGTCCCTGAGCCCGTGGCACTGTGTCCGTACGTGGCCTCTCTGGCCACAGTGATAGCAGCTCAGGTCACGTTCGTCCACAGAGCGGGTCGGAGGGGCCCGACGCCAGGCATACCCCTTTGGAGGGGGTTCTCCCTATTTCCCCGCTAGGAGGTCCCCTGGTGACTCTCTCTCTGCATTTGGGGGGGGGCCTGTTCTTTTGGGACTCCTCCCGGCTACCCCCTGACCGACTGTTCACAAACTCGTCGGCCAGCTGCCCTGCGTGCTGGGGGTTCTCGAGCTTTTTGTCCACCAACCACAGCCTCAGGTCGGAAGGGCACTGTTCATACAGTTGCTCCAGTACGATTAGGTCAAGCAGGTCCTCTTTAGCTCGGGCCCCAGCTGTCCACTTGCGGGCATATCCCTGCATCCGGTTGGCCAGTTGTAGGTAGGTGACCTCAGGCGTTTTACGCTGACTCCGGAACCTTCTCCGGTACATCTCGGGGGTCAGCCCAAACTCACGGAGCAGGGCCTGTTTGAACAGTTCATAGTCCCCTGCCTCCGGCCCTGTCATCTGGCTGTACACCTCCACGGCTTTGGGGTCCAGTAAGGGGGTGAGGAACTGGAGCCTGTCTGCAGGGTCAACCCTGTGCCTCTCGCAGGCATTCTCAAATGCCGTCAGGAAGCTATCTATGTCCTCCCCCTCCTTCCGCTGGGCCAGGAAGCACTTATCAAAGCTCCTTGCAGTCTTGGGTCGCCCTGCACTCACCACAGCCGGGGCCCCACTGCTCCTCAGCCTGGCCAGCTCCAGTTCATGCTGTCTTTGTTTCTCCTTCTCCTGACGTTCTCTCTCCTTCTCCTCCTGCTCATGCCTACATTGCCTCTCCTTCTTCTGATGTTCCCGCTCCTTCTCCTCCTGTTCATGCTGACATTGTTTCTCCTTCTCCTCCTGCTCATGTTGACGTTGTTTTTCATGATCCTCCAGCTCCCTCATTTTCATCTTCCTCTCCCATTCCAGCTGCATCCGCTCCAGGGATGGGGAGCTCTGCCGGGAGGATCCCCTGCTGGCTGCTGGGGTCAGGATGTCCTCGGTATTCGCTGGGCTTCCCCCAATCCCTCCCCCAGGCCTAGGTAGGAAGGGTCTTGGGATGTCCTCGGCAGCAGTCTGATCCCTCTCAGCCCAGTCAGGGTTGAGGGTGAGAAAACCTGGATTTGTGCTGGAAATGGCCCAACTTGATGATCACTTTAGATAAGCTATTACCAGCAGGACAGTGGGGTGGGAGGAGGTATTGTTTCATGATCTCTGTGTGTATATAAAGTCTGCTGCAGTTTCCACGGTATGCATCCGATGAAGTGAGCTGTGGCTCACGAAAGCTCATGCTCAAATAAATTGGTTAGTCTCTAAGGTGCCACAAGTACTCCTTTTCTTATTCCCGGGTAGAGGTGTCACCTCCCCCTTCCCCTCCTGGCTCAGGTGACAGGCTCTCAAGTCTCCCATCCCCAGGACACATTCCCAGGTCAACACTCCCCCCTCCCTGCTGCATCACATCGTCACACAGCTGCTCCCAGATCCTGCTATAGCCCCATTTGGGTCAGGAATCTGTTCCTTAGAGCGGTCATCCTCCTCCAGCTGCACGATTAACTGTGCTTTGGTGAACTTTCCAATGCTCAACCCTCTCTTTTTGCACAGGGTTACAATGTCCTTCTTCAGAAGATGGTGACAGGCCATCACTCCACTGTTCCCAAGTTGTTGTGGACTCACAGGCCTGTGTGCTCTCAGCTCCCCACGGTTTCCAGGGAGAACCCCTCATGTGCCAGCCCTTCTCGAGGTCACCCCCTCTTTGCCAGGGTCGAGCTGCAGACTCCTCCGCCCCTAGGAATGCTCGCTGCAATCCCCAGGGGAACCCTGTTACTGCCAAAGTCCTTCTCTCTCCCAGGGCCAAGCCACAGACTCCTCCACCCCTGAGACTGCTCACCGCAGTCCCCAGGGGGACCCCATTACTGCACAGTCCTTCTCGCTGGTCACACACTCCCAGGGGTTAACCACCCCCCAAAACTGCTCCTCTCTGAGCCTTCAGCAGCTCTGGTCCTTGTCAATCCCGCTTCGTTTTACTGCTCCCCAGTCACTTACTGCAGGAAGCGCCATCCACAGGGTGCAGTAGATCCCACCACTGCCACCAGTTATCGCAGAGTCCCCGGGCGATGCTCTGGAACTGCTCCCCATGAAGGCAGTCAGGACTCTGGGGAAGTCTTCTCTCTGTGAGCAGCCTGTCTGCAGGACACACAGCTCACACAGCTTCCACCTTCCTGGATCTGACCTCGGAGCATTCAGCCTCCTCTGCCCCTCCGTGAGCTTCCCACAGCGAGTCTGCTCAGGCGGGGTCCTGGGGAAGCCAGAGGGTCCTGCACCCCAACTCCACAGTCAGACGGGACTCTCAGCCAGCCAGTAAAACAGAGGTTTATTAGATGACAGGAACGTGGTCTAACACAGAGCTTGTAGGTGCAGAAGAACAGGACCCCTCAGCCGGGTCCATTTTGGGGGGCAGTGAGCCAGACAACCACGTCTGCACTTCACTTCATGTCCCCAGCCAGACCCAAACTGAAACTCCCTCCAGCCCCTCCTCCTCTGGGCTTTGTCCCTTTCCCCGGGCCAGGAGGTCATCTGATTCCTTTGTTCTCCAACCCTTTAGCTCTCACCTTGCAGGGGGGAAGGGCCAGGCCATCAGGTGCCAGGAAACAGGGTGTCGGCCATTCTCTGTGTCCAGACCCCTGCACACACCTGCCCTCTAGGGCTCTGCAACAATCATACACCCTTATCCCACCCCCTAGATACTTAAGAACTGCATAGGGAAACTGAGGCACCCCCACACTATTCAGAGGAAACATTAAGAACAGTCCCACTTCGTCACAGCACCTCAGGGCAGGTGCCTCTGCCCTGCTCGGTACAGAGCTCTTCCTTTCCCTCTCCCTAGGAACCAGGCCGTGTGGCTCCAGGCCTGCCTAGAGCAGTGCCCAGCTTGTGGGGAGTGGCCGTGGAACACCCTCCCTCACCTGGGCCCTGAGCCTGAGGAATCTGCCAGGGCGCCCCAAGCCCTGGGAATATGTTAGCGAGGCCCAGCCCCCGTCAGCGTTTGTGGCAGTGTGTCGGGAGCCAGCAAATGTGTGTGCACTGTGCGAGAGGACTGCAAATCTGTCAGCGTGCTGCACTCGGACTGGTAGCTCTTCGGCACCCCAGGATCCAGGATCCCGGGGCAAATGGAGGAGGCCATGAGTGACCTGGAGCTTGGCACTGTCTCTCCCAGCCCTATGGGAGTTTGTCTGCCAAGCCCAGCTCCCAGTCTGGGGCAGCTCAGTGTGCACGGCTTGCCTTTCTCAAGAGACGCCCCAGGCTGCAGTGGTGTCGCTCAGGCCTAGGGAGTAGCAGCAAAGCTGGGTTAGGCCAGGGCTGGACTATGGGGATACTCTGTGTGGCTTGAGGTGAATCAGCAGAGCTGGATGGGGATCACTGGACTGGAATGACAGGGTGGGCTGCCAGACTAGGCTGAGGGGCAGCGTCAGAGCTGTGTTTGGGGACACCAGGGCTGGAATTTCAGGGGGGCTGTAGCCTTGCATTCATGACCAGTGAAAATCCACTAACTACACCTTTACCAAAAGGCAGAGTCCCCGCCCCCCCACCCCAAAGATGTGTATGTGCCTCGCCCCTCACGGTAACTCACACTCAGCCCCCCCTTGTGTTTGGCCTCATAACACAGTCGCTTTGAATGTGTCAAGGGTTTGCAGCCCCAGAAACGGTTGGTTTTATTTTTAGCTGCTTTCCTGGCAGCAGCTCTGCTCATACCTGCAAGGCAGCGAGATGTACCGATAACACAGGAAACCAGAAACCTTTGCATAGTGCTGCGAACACTTCCCTTCCCGCCCTGCCCCCTAGCCAGTGCGTGCCCATTTCCAGGGGTCACCACCAGTCTGTTGGCATCCTGAGGCCTCCAGGCGGCACTATTCCTAGGTGCCGCGTGACATGGCCGCTGGAGTTGGAGACTATGAAGTGAGAGCAGTTGTCCCCCATGAGCCCAGCCCAGGGAAGGCACGCTGGAGACCTCATTCCCTGGCGCACAGGAGGACCTGGACCCCTTGCTCTGCTCCGGTGGGGAAGGGCGCATGTCCTGGCAGAGAGACAGCCAGAATTCTCAGGCAGGCGTGGGAGGCCAAAGGCATTGGAGACAGTGGGGTAGCCGAGGGTTGGCACAGTGGACTGTGGCTCCAGGGTAGACGCTCCCAGAGGCAGAGGGTTTCAGGAGGCCAGTGCAGTGGTATTGCCCAGCTGGCTTTTCTGCTCTGAACTGGCCTGTGTCCCTTGGGATCTGGCTCAGCTCCTTGTGTGCTGACCTGCGCTCTCTGTGTTCTGTACAGGCAAAGAAGAGAAGGAAGAAGCTAACTACGACTCGCTGAAAATGGAGGCAAGTATGTGCCACGGTCGCTGCCCTGGGGACTCCACTGCCTTGCCAGCTGTTGGTGATGCGTTAGTCCCTGGAACCCAGCTAACCCGCAGAGCTAAGTGCAGGCTGGGAGCCTTGACTCCTGCCCTCTCGAAGCAAGAGCACAGGCAGAATCAAGTGGCCACTGGGCCACATGGCTAAGTTCCTGTCAGGCTGCAGCCTGGCGTCTGGGGCGGGCATGTCCAACCCCCTGGGCAATCGGAGAGGGGTTCAAGAAGCTGCTGCATTGAGCGTGAGAGGCTGGCCAGGTACAATGCAGCAGATGGACGGTCTCACCAGGGCCTGGTTCAGCACATGGGGGCCTGGGCTAAGTTGCACCCTGGACACTAGAGCCCTTTATCTACACAGAAGGCACCAGGCACTTGAGCACGCTAGAGACCCCGGGGTCTCATTCCAGAGCCCGTCAGCTCCAGAGTGAGACCCCGATCCCAGAGCCTCTGCTGCATATCGGGACACGATTGCCGGAGCTGTCCCAGGCCCGTACTGCAGATGTGTGTGCACAGATCAGACACACACAGTGGTGTCTGTGGTGGGATCTGGCTAATGTAGGGTTAGCTCTGGCTCTGGGTATCCAGTAGGTCTCACTGCTAACCATCTCTGTCTCCGTAATGCACTCCTGTAGGAGTCTGGCAGAGAAATTCTGATTGAACAGGCCTGACTGCCATTTCTGCTCTGGGCTCTGGGGTGAGCGCTGCAATCCAACGTCGGTGGCTGGTGCTTCCCAGGTTAATTCCTGCAGCTCGGCCCTGCTTGGCCTCCCAGGCACTGCGTTGCTAGAACCCATCCTGGGAGAGGCCAACGCTCTAGGCTAATTTTTCTCTGGAGGGAAAAGTGGGAGCTGCAGAAACCTCCCCCATCCCAGTGGGGGGACTGAGGGGATGCAGGGGTCCTGGTACCCTGCTCTGACCCCAGAGCTAGCATGCCTTTGACATGGTGTAGCCACAGGTAAAACCTGGCCTGGATTTGTGAGCCTCACGCTCTGGCAGTGACATGGCCCTGCCCTGAGCAGTGGCACTGGGAGTCAGGAGCCAGGGATCTGTTCCCTGCTCTGCTGCTGACATGGCCTGCGGTGGGTGAGTCCCTTCCCTGCTGTGTCCCTTGGTTGTCCACCCCCTGTTCCATGGGTCTCTCTCCGCCCTCACTGCCTTGTTTCCCCAGCGAGCCCCAGGCCCCCCGTGTTCAGAACTGTGAGCTGAGAAGCCAGCCCCTTTCAGCCTGTCTCTCTCCTCTCTCACTGCCTGCGAGCAGGGATCCCGAGGCCGCCTGCGTGGTGGGCTGGGCTGGGAGTCAAGCCTGCGTCAGAGGCCCATGCAGCGGCTCACCTTCCAGGCCGGGGACCCGTATTACATCAGCAAGAGGAAGCGAGATGAGTGGCTGGCCAGATGGAAAAGGGAGGTAAGGACACAGATTCTGCCTTGCCTGGACGCAGGCCGGTTCACCCTGCGAGGGGTACGTTCTGCCAGCCGTAGATAGCTGACACAGTACGCTTCGTCTCCGTGGGGATTCAGCCCAGCCTCAGATTTCTCCCCCCACTCACCTGCCCCCACGCTGTTTGATCCCCCACTCTTACAGCGGCTTTCTCATGTTGGTGGCAACTCTGCTGAAGCTGACACCTCTCCCCTCCCCTTGGCTCCCCATCACAGACGCAGGTTTCAGAGGAGCACGCGGCCCTCCAGAGCAGGGAGAGCCTTCCAGTCGAGCTGTGCTGCTGGCCTGTTCGACGGGGTAGGCGAGGAAATGGTTGGATGAGGCCTTTGTGTTTGAACCAGTCTCTTTAGATGGAGGGGCAGCAAATGGTTCTAGTAACAAATCGGTGACCATCCGTTGATCACTGTACCTCCTGGGGACAGCAGAACGCAGACTCTGTGCTTCAAAAGCACAGGGCCCTCCCGCTTGAACCAAAGGAGACTCCGTTAGCGGCGAGCAGTGCAGGGCCTTTAGCACACAGTTGGGCTGTTCGTAGCCAGGCTAGCCCGCTCCTGACAGCATCGTTAATTGTGAACACGCACGTGCTTTGCAGCCCTGTCTGGGGGAGTCTGTAGCTGAGAGCAGAGCCCGCGTGACCAGTGGGGAGCTCAGGGAGGTGTGGTGAGCACTCAGGAGGTCAGGCCAGGATGTGGGTTACAGCAGGAAGGATCTGCCTCCTTTCTAGTCTCATTCTCTCTCTCTCCAAAGCCCCCCACCCCCTCTCTCGCCTCGCCATTGTGACCAGCAGGGGCTTCTGGGAACTCTGGGGGGTAGCAGAGCCGAACACCCGGCAGCATTCTTTGAAATGGTCCCCGTTCTGGGAACCGTATCTCCATGGAAATGTTTCTGTTAGGCCTTCAAGTAAGTCTGCCCGGGGCAAGGGTAGGAGCAAAGGTAGAGAACATGGCTGGGTTCTCCAGGGTGAGCCAGCACGGGCAGTCGTGCAGGAAGGTAACTGACTGGTTACCATTCGTTTTTCATTTTTTTGTTCTGTTTTATTCAACATTGGGCCAGGTTCCCTGCTGTCCTTGTCGAGGCGCAGGGCTGGCTCGAGGGAGCTCGCTCCCGATTTACAGCAGTGAAATGAGAGCAGAGCCTGGGCCGTTGTCTCTATGCCAGTGACCACACCAATTATGGAAACCAAGATTTCAGCTAAATGACTGTAACCTTGCCCCACTGAGGCCGTTTTCACTCACTGTGGTCAGTGAGACTAGAGCGGTCAGTGTAATTTCCTGTTTCTAGTCAGTTTCAGGTACATGTTGTCCTGCCCCCCAGCCCAGCCCTGTTGTATTTGGGTTGGGGAGGCTGCCTGGGAATGCTCAAAACCGACCAAAAGCTGTTTTCTGGGAACGAATGGTGTTCCTCAGCCGTGGCTGGGCTGAGGAGAAGCGGAGGAAGCAGTGGCTCAGGGCCCCAGGCAGCTCACGGGGCCGATTAGTGTGCCTGTACTTACTGAACAAGTGTGTGTTGGGTTGTTATTGGTTTGGTTTGTGGAGTAATGTAAGCAATATTCTTCAGGGTGGGGAGGGGAAAGAGGGAGCCCCAAAATATCCTTGCTTAGGGTCCCATGGGCCAGCACCACCTGTGTTCATGAGACTGGTTCTTATTTTCCAAAACCGGAACGTGGGGCCTCCAATGCTGCTGTCCCATTAAGTAGCATTTGTCTCCTCCCCTCTCGTGGCGCTCCCCGGGCTGTGCTGGACTGTCGGAAATGCCTGGCTGCTGGGCTCTGCTAACCATCTCTGCTTTCAAGCGCAGGTCACAGTGCTGCAAGGGGATGGCTTCCTTGCGACCCTCCTTTGTGTGCTGCTCTTCTTCCCTTGCCCTCTGGCAAGGATCGGTGCTGGCAGCTGCCATTGCCAACAGCCGACGGCCGAGGAGATCTGAGTTTGGACAGGGGGTACCAGGGGGCAGGTGGAGTCGTCTTTTCTTTCCGTGTGCTGGTGGCCTGGGGCCTCTTGTGGTTTTGGGTGGCTTTCCTTTCTGCATCAGGTTCTTTTCCTGTGTGTCTGTGTCTCTCCCTCGGGCTGTTTTCTTGTCCCTAGCCAGACCCCAGAGGGCAGGTCCTCCAGGTTCACCATGTGATGATGTCACACAATGAATCCGTACATCTCTGGCTCCTGGCGTTTGCCACTGAACCCTGCCCCGTTGGGTCCCTCCCTTCCTCCCGTACCCCACTCCCCACGCACTGGGAATCGGGCTGCTGATGAACAGTGGGGAGGAGCTAGTGAGAAGCCTGAGGAGGAAAGCCTTCCATTGAGTCACTGTCCCGCTCTCTCAGACCTGGGCAAGCAGAAGCGCACCTGAGCCGGCCAGAATGCAGCCAGATTTCCGCTTTTTGCCTTTTGTTCGCAGGCAGAGGCCCTGTCGTCGGGCTAGGCGCTGTGTGGACATAGAGTGAGACAGTCCATGCCCCAGGAGCTGATAGTCAGTGTAGGCGAGGGTGAGAGGGGAAAGACGTACAAGGAGGGGAACAGACTAACTTAGGGTCCCACAGCAGCTATGGGGCAGAGCTGCCAATATAAGCCAGGTTTCCTGCCTGCCAACCTAGTGCCCTCGCGGCGAGACCAAACTGTCTCTCAGGGCTAGTCAAAGTCTGGAGGGTTCCCGGAAGGTCCTTTGGCCTCTCGCTCTGGCTGTGTCCTGGGGACTCCTACACACAGAGGGGAGTGTGCAGGAAGCTGCATGGAGGGTGTCTGGACTGCAGGGCTAGTCCTAGATTCCCCAGGCCAGAAGGGACCACTGTGATCATCCTGTCACTCCAGTTTGAACTAAAGCAGATCTCTTAGAACCATCCAGTCTTGCTTTAACATTGCCAGGGCTGGAGAAGCCGCCACAACCTGGGTAAATTGTTCCCCTCACTCTTAAACACTGGCACCTTCTTTCCAGCCTGAATGTGTCTAACTTCCACCTCCTCACCCTGCATCTTGTTAGGCAGGGCTCTGCTAGATTGAAGCGCTCGTTACGACACATTTGGTCCAGAAGCCCTTGCCCTTTCTCTGCTTCCCAATGGGATCTTTCCTTTTCTCTTGGTTGCCAGGAGAACCAAGACAAACACAATGTGATTAAACTAAAAACAAACCAGAGTAAATAAATCCAGGCCGTAGGGGACTTTGGCACAAGCCCAGGGCCTGCCTCTGTCCTGCATGGAGGAAGCAGCTGCATCTTTGCTGTCTAGGAGCAAAGACTGCTCGTCCCAGCATACACCGCTCTCTTCTGAGCCAACCGGCTTGGTCCCCTTTCGTGCTGGGATGGGAATTCATTCTTAAGGCTGTTTGGAGCACTGGATGCTGTGGCCTGTAGTCCATGGTCTGAGAGCTGGTGTGTAGTGAGCTGTGGATTTTCTTGGACTGCCCTTTGGTCCCCCTGTGACCTACAGCATTCAGTTCTATCCCAAGGCCTTTAAGGAAGACCGTAGGTAGTGGGTCCCCCCGGAGGGAAGGACCCTGCATGCGTCAGCTGGTTGTAATATGGAGTGTCCACCTCTGTGTGTTCTTGGTCTCGGCCTCATCCTGTAGCTGCCAGTGCTAAGGGACTGGCGCACTGCAAGGGCAGGAGAGCCGCACAGTAGTTGCGTAGATGGCATATAACTGGGGTGAGCCATAGAACAAGGAGAAGGTCAGGAGGGACTGCAGAGAATTCTCCAGGAGAGCCAGGCCCCTGCCCTGAACAGACACACCCGGTGAATGCAAAGCAGCTTCTTGTCTGAGTTCTTTGCAAGATGGTTGTCAGGGCTGGTATGAGCTGGGGCAGGGATGGCACAGTCTGAGCACTGCACATGTGGGGAGGCATCCGCAGGAAATGCTTCTGTGGCAGGGTTGCAGGCACCTGTCTCCATACTGGGTTGGTGGGCACAGATGCCATGGAGACAGCACTCAGCCAAAGTGAGGGAGCCTGCCCAAAGCCCACCTCTGCCACGTCCTTGTCCCCTTTCCAGCTATGGTGAAGGAGTGACAAACCTCAGGGCCACAATCTGCGAGGTTACGGCTATTGGGCAAGCAGTGGAGAACAGCCTAGAAGCCAGGGAGCGAGGGACACCGGCTCCCCACAAAAAACAAGTCGATAATTCCCCCCCCAAAAAAAATAACCCCCCTCCTCTTCCGTGTCTGCTCTGGTTCTGGTGGTGCAGCTTCCCTTGACTGATGGGCACAAGCGTCCATTATCTTCCGTCTCACTGAGCAGAGGGGGGCTTCAAGGTGCGGGGCCCTTTCCTGAGGCCTCAGTGTGTTGCAAAGGGGAAGGGGATTTCCCTGTGCTGTTGCCCCCCCTGCTGCTGCTGCAACGTCTGCTTCCCACACGGGGCGGCTGGCAGCTTCTGATGTACTGAATGATGTGGTTGTGTTTGCTAACACCCTCCTCTCCTTTACCTTTCTCCCCACAGACTGATAATCCATCGGCATCCCAGCTTGACAAGGTTCGTGGCATGGGTGTAACTTCCTTCTGGGGGGCGGAGCGAGGGGCACGGACATGCTTTGCTTCTGGGCAGTGTTTACTGTGACATTGAAATGCTGTGTGGGGGGCGTGGAGCCCCTGGGCTTTGTGCTGCTGGACATGTTACAGGGTGTGCCCAGACCTCAGACTCCCAGTCACCTGTGTTCACTCCCATGTTCACAGGCCTGCTCGTTCACACCCACACTTCCATTCACCCCGTCTCACATCCACGCACTGGTGTACACACACTGGCATATAGACATGTACGCCTATGGATGCACACTTCAACACTTCTGTATGTGTACGTGCACTAACAACTCCGCAGAGAGTCACACGGCTAAAGCACCATATCCACGCACCATCACATTCACTCAGACAGCCCATGCCACATACAGTCTGTCCCTTTCCTTGCAGTGTTTGTCACGCAAATGACACCCGGACGAGCCTTATAGGGTTAATGAAATGCTAAGCCCTGGCTGAGAGAGCGAGGCGCTGAG